ATACCCACACCTAATCTAACTAATCCTTTATGGTTTGACTGTCACCATACCCACACCTAATGTAACTAATCCTTTATGGTTTGACTGTCACTCTACACCTAACCTAACTAATCCTTTATGGTTTGACTGTCACCATACCCACACCTAATGTAACTAATCCTTTATGGTTTGACTGTCACTCTACACCTAACCTAACTAATCCTTTATGGTTTGACTGTCACCCTACCCACACCTTTATGGTTTTGACTGTAACCCTACCACACCTAACCTAACTAATCCTTTATGGTTTTGACTGTCACCCTACCCACACCTAACCTAACTAATCCTTTATGGTTTGACTGTCACCCTACCCACACCTAACCTAACTAATCCTTTATGGTTTGACTGTCACCCTACTCACAATAAACACACGGTGTACTTACGAAAAATTACTTCTTCTTCCGTAGCTTTTTCGCTATTTTCGGTTTTGGCCGGATGCCCTTCCTGACGCCAACCATCCCCTAATTTAGCAGTGCAAGACTAGAGGGAAGGCTGCTAGTCATCACCAACCACCGCCAACTCTTGGGCTACTCTTTTACCAACGAATAGTGGGATTGACCGTCACATTATAACGCCCCCACGGCTAAAAGGGGCGAGCATGTTTGGTGGGATGAGGGCGCGAACTGATTGCGAGTCGAGCGTCTTACCCACCTGGCCATGGCGGGCTCTCTTACGAAAAATTACTATTCTCATAAAATACTACGTTAGCAAACTTAGAGTTCACTAAATTAAGTACAAGTTGAAGCCCATCAATAATATTAAAGTCCCACATCGTATTAAATGCCAAAACTGATTATAGTTCGTATTCAAACGTTTTTGAGTCTGTTTTTTCCTAAATAAGCTAAATAGAAATCTTTACTCCGTTTTTCGCAAAACATATTTTTGCTCTTACGTATATAGCATTTTGAAACTTTACTGTGATTTGTTATTATGTATAACAAGTAATATTTTAAAATATTTTATTTCTCACTGAAATTTTAATTCATAATGCAATTGCAGAATCGCGCTTTCTTGACTTTGGGCAATGACATGAATGACAAGTAACTTTGGCAAGCTCAAACACAATGTGTTACCTAGTCCGTTGTCAGGGCTTTTTCTTCTCTGTGGTTTGTTAGCCCATATTAACTTGTATTCCAGACAAAATCATACTACAGTCTTGGCCAAAATGTTTGATATTTTGTAACAAATAAGATCATTATTATTAAAATGGAATACAAATACACTTAACGCTGTCAAACTGTCGTACACCAGTAACACGGTAACAGCGGTGAATTCTGGTTAATATCGGTTTGCAAATAGGCCTTCTTGCAAAATAACCTTGTTTGGTCAGTCCCCTATTCACTGTTCTTCTGGATAACCCGGAATTAATGTGTTCATGCCATTTCTCTCGTAAAATGTTGTAATACTTCCTTCGACCTTAACGTGTTAACCTGATCAAAATACGGTCATCCCGGGCAGTAGTTTTTCGGCGTCTACCAGTAGACTTTCCTGGAACAAAGTTTCCTGAAGTCCGATAATGTTTCAGTATTCCGGATACAGTACACCGGGGTACCCTACTGTTCTGGCAATATCCGTTTGTTTCATACCATTTCTGAACATTCGAACAATTTGACACCCTATAACTTCTAGCACGTGACAAGGCATGGCTCTATCCCAAGTACAGAGAAATGATCTGAACAAAGCGGTGATCTGTTTCGAAAAATATTATACCAAAAGCACACCCTTTTTTCAAAACAGGTGTATATGTGTGTTTTGACGAACAAATGCTCAAAACAACTTATACAGATGAGAATAGCAACTCGTACATGTTTGTCCGATCATCCACTACCTTCTTTGGGACTACTCGGGCATTTACTAAATAACTACTCCATGCATGTAGACAATAACATCAATATAGAACATTATGCAAACATTTTGGCTAAAACTGTATTTCATTTGGTTGATTTTAAGAAAATCACATAAAATCTCTCTTTTATTTCCTGTGCTGAAATAAAAATTATATACAGTTCTTTTAATATTAGTATTAGCAGTCTTTGAGTTTAGTATAAAATCAATACTCCATATATAAATAAAACTTTATCTCTATGATACCGCTTCGTACATTGAGTCGGATCGTTGTACCATTGCGTCTAGACATATATTTCTATGTCTGAACTTTGTTTATTACCTACAAATATGTCCTTGTCTGGTATTTATAGTTAGCTTACTTCGGTAATGATAATTCTTGTAAGAAAAATGGAATTGGAACTACACTATCATCGTATAATTAATGCACGCACAGATACAGTTACATACTTTCGAGTAGTATATTTACTGTTTATCATTTATTAAAAAATTAAAAGCTACAAGTAAAATAACTGAAACTGCTATTAAAGATATGACTTTGTTGCACTTACTGAGCTGAAATAGCTGCTTCTAATGTAATTGTATCTTTTACTAAGAATTCCCAAAATTTTATTTTCTCTTTGTTTCATGTTCATAGGTATCGAGATAGTCCTTTGAGTCTCCTTGATTCGCCAACATTGGTTAGCCCCACAAGTATGGCTTCACTACTTAGCAGCCCGACCAACTCAAGCGAGCAGCTACAATCACTGACATCCAAGTTTTCTGGGGCTACAAATGGATTACACGATACTTTAACCATGACCATCCCGGCCTCCACCAGCTCTTCTCCAGGCTATATTGCGATGGTAACAGAAAGTACATTTTCAACAGACTCTATCTTGCACGAACCTCCCATCAGCTCCATGGAAACATCAACATGAGATTTGTTCACTCTTTTTTTATTTCTCAGTATTGTTAGATTCAGGTGTTCCGTGCGGGAACAAATTGTGTTTTAGACATTGAAATGATATGGCCAGTGTAAAGTAATCAGGCATTAATTTCATTCTTGGGTCCATACATGATAGGCTTGTAAATTACGATCAAATATTATGTTGACTCGGTTCAAAGTTTCCTGTCAGCATAAATTTACAACTATTAAATCTCAGGAGAAAAGCTGTTGTGCTCAAAGAAGCGCACATCCTGTATGTTGTTTCTGTTTGAATATTTGACACTCGACGTGTATCTGACCCTTTTGTGTACGTTGATGAGAGAACAGTAACACTAAAATTTTGCGTAAAATGCTGTTAACTACTGAATGGTGTTCCGTAAAGATTGTTTTTGTTTTACCGAAAGTTAAATCATGTAATCAGAATTATAAGAAGCGACCAACAGTTAACTTTAAAGTTGTAAGAGTTCTGACGAAACATTTAGGCAGGGCCGGCGTCAGACTATTTTGCGCCCTAGGCAAGGCCAGCTACTTGCACCCCCCCCCAAAAAAAGCCAACAGATGTTTTGTAGAAAAAATAAAAAGCACAAAACTTTTATTATGTTTTTCTTAAAACAACTAATTTGTATAAAACTGTGACCCTTAAAGGTCAGTACTGCGCCCCTCTGAGGTCTGAGCCCTAGGCGGCTGCCTAGATGGCCTAATGGTAGCGCTGGCCCTGGATTTAGGTAAGTATTGTGTGTTTATTTTACATGCTCAAAAATATTTACCCATTCTCTAGTCTGTGATTGTGTCTTGTGAGAGACACCTGGTGTCTGTTTTGTATCAGTATTTGAATTCTATAGGACAAAGCTTTCAGTGGCTAACTTTAGCTGTGTTGTTATTCTATTCTTCACATTTGGTAGTCGAATGTATGTATTGGAGTCCTATAAGAAAATTATATTCAATATTTTGCACAGGACGTATTAAAAGTTATTTCAAAAAAAGATGCCAAAAACTCTATCGTCGTTTGACTACACCTTGTTGTACGGCTATCTTTGTATTTCTGACGCTAAAGATGGCACATTCATTCACAGATAGGACTAATGCCTGTCCGCAACCATAAACTACCTGTTTTGGTTTTGTAAAATTTTATTCTTTGTCATAGGTTACATCAGTGGAAATGATACTTTTAATCTGAAGAAATACGGTAGTCCAAGAGCAAGAACTAGGCTGAATCCTACTAGGGCATTGAATAACTTTATTTTATTGTGTTTTCTACCTGTGGTAAACATATTTTGTAATTTCATTAGCTTAGATTGACTATGGTGAATACATACAATGCAATGATGCTGAGAAATTTCATACCGGTTATGAATTTAATAGAAAAGTGTAGAGAGTTTAGATTACAAGTCTGGAATTGTTTCCATAAGCGACCTGATAACTTTAAGCATGAGAAGTAGATGGGTATACGTGCCATATTCGTCTCACTTAGGTTCCTAACACCCATAGAATAGCAATTAGTCTATCAAACAAGATGGTCTTTAGAGTTCTCAAACCTTACTTATCATAACAATCATTTTTTTAGCGTGCAAGTGACACAGTAAGACGTGTATCAGGTAACAAGATTACTGTTTTATATATTTACTTATTAAGCGAAACCGACTGGCTTCTGTTCAAGAAATGGTCGCGGATACATTCTGGTCATTGAGGGCAGAAAAAAGTTACATTTCACACTAATAAACGTATTTTCATGTGACTTTAATGAGCCATGATTTTGAGGGTTTAGGTGGCTTTCTTCAGTTTTGTTGTGTAGTTTCACGTCATGTGAAATGTATTCATTGCTCAAATAGTTTAGTTTTTCGTTAATTCACTCAGTATATTTTAACACCATTTTTTATTTACTTTATTATTTTTTTCTTGTTAAACTTTTCGTTAAAAAGAACCTAGGTGGACATAACATGATACCTGTTTTCTCTTTTATCTTCATTCCATCTAAAAATTTCAATATTTTGATCTAATCAAACCATAATTATTGATTTGTTTTACGTTCTTTGATGTTTAAGAAAACAAATTAAATTGATTTCAATAGAAAGTTATTTTCAAAACGTCATATTAGCTTCATTTACATGAATTTCATTGATTTTTTTTACTAAAATGACCAGTAATTTTGGGTCTTACATAACAAGATGTATTATTTACATTTTTGTTTAACTGGGCATTTTGGTGTATGTTGGTCCTGTAGCTAATTTCAACCCAGAGGCCAGTTTCCATATTGCTGGTGTATGGTAGTAACATAGTAACCTATTCGCATTTTCGGTGGTTTTGATGGTGAGGAACGAAAAAAAATGTTATAATGTTCAGCCTTTTTATGTACACGCAGAAAATTGAGGAAAATACAATATTTTTTGTCTGTAAATAAATCTTGAGGTTTTCCATAATCCATCAAAACAATAGAACATCTTAATTGGCCAAAATCTTGTTCTCTTTCTCACCATAAGCTGTCTCATTCTTAATGTCATATCTGGGAGACTTATCATGTGTACATTTTAGTGAATATTAAAGTATCTTGTTGAGTCATTAGCATTTCTCTTTCATTATTGTTATTTTTTTTTAATTTTTAAACAAACACTTATCTCTCAAAAACATCAACTTATGAAACTATTTTAACCATGTTGAATCATGTTTTACACACATTGTTATACAGCTTCGATCACCGAATTTGTTAGCCGAAACTTTAGGCACCAACTTAATTGGTCGATCCTTGAATATCCATTGTGTTTGGATGGATCTTCACCTGCTTGAACTCTGACTTCAGTTTTCATATCAATTGGCCTGTGAACTCTCTATCCGCTTTGGCAGAGTGAAACTTTAAGCTCTATGAAAGTTAAATAGAAATTCTAGTCTTCAAATTGGTTGAGTGATAGTTACAGTCGTTACGCTGATTGAGCTCTAACGTCAGTTGTCATATTGCTTTACTCCATACTTAGATTCTAGAGTTAAATTACATATACTTCAGTCTCTTTGATGTGGTTTCATGTTGGTTAGTCTGTACCTTTGATTACCCAACTGGTTTATAAGTAATTTCCGTTTGATCAGAGCATCGGTTTCGTTATTGATTAAACCTCAATAGTTTATATCCCTAAGTTGGCTGACTCTTAATATGTGTTTATTTAAATTCAACGTGACTTACTATTCAAGGAGTAAAATAATATTGCGTAGGCTATTATTTAATGCGTGTCGTTGTTTAAAGAATAAAATATTTGCTTAGCTTCCTAACATTCTTCTTTGTCCAACATATCCAACAATTATACACCCATATTGGCGACAGTTGTTTAGTATGTGTCTGTGAATAGTTCATGTGGATAAATATTTCACGGCCAATAGTTCGTGTGGATAAATATTTTACAGCCAATAGTTCGTGTGGATAAATATTTCACGGCCAATAGTTCGTGTGGATAAATATTTTACAGCCAATAGTTCATGTGGATAAATATTTTATAGCCAATACTTCATGTGGATAAATATTTTACAGTCAATAGTTCATGGGGATAAATATTTCACGGCCAATAGTTCGTGTGGATAAATATTTCACGGCCAATAGTTCGTGTGGATAAAAAAATTCACAGCCAATAGTTCATGTGAATAAATATTTCACAGCCAATAGTTCATGTGGATAAATATTTCACAGCCAATAGTTCATGTGGATAAACATTTCACAGTCAATAGTTCATGTCTATCTTGAGTTTCTAAAATGATGGACCAGCCTGCAATATTCTACTGAACACAAATCCCACTTTCTTTTGGATGAAGGACATTAGGACTGCGACAATGAATCCCACTAATCGGTTACGAGTAATCACGTCGGTAGCTATTGCTGTGACTTATTATCCTTTCTCTATTGAGGAATCCCAAATTAGGGATTGTTATGCGTGAGCCTTAAGGGTCTCTAACCATCCGTTTCGCTTGTGCTGCATAAGATGATGTTTAGGCTTAAAATACCGAATACCGCATTCTCAGTATACGTGTTGTTTCGTCTGAAGCCTCATCTCCATTCGAGTTTGCTTATTTTTATATATTAATTTGATTTACGTATAGAGTTATATGTAAACAAATAGGCTTCTTCATGCTCAAATCTATAACTACGATACGAAAACAATTTCGTTATATAGCATGAAACAATCCAGTATTTTTGATATAAAGGACTTGACACGTTTTGTCAGCCTTGGCTGATGAAGACAACCAAACATGTTATGTATTAGAATTAATATTTTCATTCATGCTTTATAACGAATTTTGTTTTCACACCTTAAATTAATATTCGTATTGCATGTACCTACAGCTTTTTATTACAAATTTGCTACGTATTCGCCATCTCTTGATATTTTAATACAATTTATCAAAAGTTAAATATTTCTAAGATGTAGTCAATTTCATTTTTCAAAATTGATTAATGAAACACTACCTGTAAAATAGAAAATTAATGTAAATGATGGTGATTTACAGGCAGTGTTATTAATAACATAAATAGTGGACTCATTCGAATGGTGGTAAAAGGTGCCTGTGTTGCACAGAGTATAGTTGAACAGTACAAATTTATATAATTTCCCAAAAGAATCGGTAAATTTGCACATTTTTGCTATGCAAACTAATTATAACACGGTATTTGTTGTCATTAGACCTTCCTTCAAGAAATCTTAAACCACAAAATACATTCCGAGTGAAACAAAACGTCATTCTTCAAGTGACGAAATATTTCATGAGTTTGGTCGATTGTATTGGTGTTATCTGAGCTTGAAGCAAATTATTCAAAATAAAAATATGAATACATATATTCAGCTCACGATGTATATGTATCTTGTGAACGTAATGCTAAAATTTATTTCCAAGTTTAGATATTCATAAAAAATATGTTTCAATTCATTTAAAAAGGTGGATGGTTTGGTCCAGGATTACATTACAATAAATATTGAGCCTGGCACTACAATTTTTCAACTAAAATTATTCCACACGCTCAACAAAGCATTTTTACATGAAGAAATATTTACTAAAACTTTCGAAGATTTCCGACTGAAAATCACAATGAATGTCAAGGTTCTCAAAATAGTTACAAATAAATTAATTAATAACTAACTCCCCAATAACTCGATATATATATGAAGCAATCAGAGCTGTACCTTAAATCTGTTTTATCAGTGTTTACTAATTAAACATTCCTATCAGTTTCAACTTTAAACCTCATTAGTTTTGATGATAAAACGATATCACAGTGTGCACTCTGGTTGATTTACGTAGTTATTTTAATTAAGATTACTGGCCTATAAGTAGTTTGACCTCTCAGTGTAATTGGAGAAACTATGATTCAACGACTAAATATGAAGACACAAAGGTATCTTGGGCGATTGATGGCATGATTTGCAAGAAGAAACGCAGAAATGTTGGTTACTTACTGAAGAAAAAATACACATGTTAATAATGATCGAAGAAGGAAATTAAAATGGGCTAAAAATAAACTGGTCTGAAGTAGAAAAGGTAATGGAGAAACTAAACCACAAGTAAACAGCCTGTCGTAAACTCAAAACTGGTATACGCAAACAATACACTGGTGGGCCACTACATAGCAAAGTAAATAAGACAATGAAAAAGCAAAATCAATAAATTTTAAGAAATTCAAGATTATGAGCATTTATGAAACACGAAACAATATATATATATATATATTCCTATTCGAAAGAGAATGAATATATGTTATGCTTTTTTTTTGTCACAATTGAAATAATAAACTCCCATTCGGAGAAGTTTTGTAATTTTTTTAACTTTTTATACACAACAACACCCTCGACGGAAAAAATAATATTTTTCTTAGTCACATGGACCTGAAATAAGTGTCAGAATCTTCCATTTTTCTAGATTTTTCAAATTCAAAAAGTTACTACTTGTATACCAACTGACAAGATTCACTTCAACAACTTAGCGTGATTAGAGAAGCTGTGTTAATATACGAAAAAGATAAATCACGTTTCCCTAATTCAAACATTTAAACCTTAACTGACAGGCAATTAATTAATAATGCAATGAAGTTAAGCCAGGAGCTCAGATATATATTTGAGGGTCTACAACGATAAAGTTTGTTCGATCCATGTTGTGAGTAAAGCGCAAATAGCTTTCCACTTAAAACAAACAAACATTGATGTTATGTATATTTGTTACGTGATTAAAAATTGTAAAACACTCAAAAACTCAAGATGGTTGAACTTTGTTTGTATTGTTACAACAGCGGAAGTCACGTGACACTGCTGGCGCATGCTTAACTGAGTTTCTCAAATTATCAGGGAAGTTCGAGTGTGATAAAGAGACGCCTTTTTGTTAGTATATAAGCCTGGCAGAAAGGCCTGCGGGAATGTATGGATGGTTAAGCGAACAGTAGTCACGATGATTTTCGGGTAATTTACGATTCTCTTTCGAGCTAGTGTGTGTTTTCCACTCGTAGAGAGCGAAATTATCTGGAGTGTGAATCGCTGTGATTTATAAAAATTGCTAAGTTTAAAGGACGAGAAACGTACTGACTGTGGAATTACTGTGTACTAAAAATTTGTACCAAGAAAGAATAAACTGGTTTAATCAAGAAGGGACTTGTATCGCGGAATTTCCTCGGAAATAATTTCTACTGGAAATTAACAAACAAGCAGATACGTAACAAATTGGTGTCAGGAAAAAAATAAACAAGAACAATACACAAGAAGTGAGACTACAGCAGTGGTTGGTGTTGAGGGACGCCCACCAAACCCCATTGTGAAGTCCCAACAGCTAAGTGTAAAATGGCAAGCACGCATAGTGTCTACGTGACAGGAACGTTGGATAGCTAAAAGTGCAACTTTGTCATAGATTCTGCATCTCAGCAAACCCTTGTGAGTATCAAGGTGCTAGATCACAAAGGAGTACCAGAAGCCATACAGAAGCTCTGTGGTGTAACAGGACAATATGCAAGGTTTTGGGGACCAGTGTAGGTAACTATTGAGCCCATGGGCATAAAGGACAGACACAAATTATACTTGGCTGACATTGAAGATCCATGCATATTAGGGTTGGATTACTTGCTACCGAGGAAGTGTGTAGTTAACATTGATAAAATGACGTTTGGGAACAACAAAGACCAAATTCCGGTAAGTGTTAAAAGAGAGGATGAACTAACCAGGTGCCATCAAG